CACACTTAAATTAGCGCTTATTCCATATGACATATTTAAGGGAAAGAACCCTCAACTTATACCAATTTATACAAGTACCTTTGTCACCACCTGAGACGGGCTTGTCTCACTCCAGGACCAAACTGATACAAACTTCTATGAGATAATCATTACTGTATGTTACTTTTACCTAAGGATTAGTACATGTTTACCTTTCAATATCTTATTAACGAAAATGTCATAACTAAATAGAAATGTAGAAAAATTATATCACATCACTTTTAAAAAAAGTTTGGTTGGCTTAAGTTGTTCGTTTAAATCAAAGATACACTGCTTAGATTATTCTTCACAGCATTAAAATATTACGTATTATTCTTATGTAAATTATATTTTATTACAATGCCATGTTTTGTATTGTAGCTATAGCTAAATCGTCTATGCATTATTACATTTACACTTCTTAATATTTTTTAATTAATTTTGTGGCAAGATTCGATATTTAGTTATTCATCTATTTTTGAAAGAAGGAGTCTTGAGGGGGCAGGCACCATTAAACGGGCGAATGCTTAAGTAACTAATAATAAAGACGATTCTCCAAGAAAATTTGGTTCTCTGTGCTGTTGTACACCATAACACAGTTTAAAACAAATTAAACAAATAAAAAAGGGCTACCTATAGAAATTGTAAAACTGTTTTATACATGTACTCTGAGTTTATCATAAAACGTGATATTCGCACGTGTGACCAAAGGCTAACGTCGACACGTAGAGAGTAATGCCTACACATTTGGACGAATTTCTTTGCATCTTTATGAGAGTGAAAAAAGACTTAAGAAAATAGTTCATATATGCATTAATTACATGAATTTCGCGATAAAACACTACGTTACCCCTTGTCCCGGAAGACATTGTTATCAAAAGCATTACTAGTTTATCACTAGTGGTTACGATATTCGTTTGAACAATATTCAATTTTGGCAAAACTTCTAAAAATACTGGATGTATAGATTTCAGCCCTCATATTTCGATGACCACGTCTATGCATTTCTTTTCCTTAGTTTTGTAACTGTCTTGTTTTTCATAATCTGTTCTTATGGGGAAAAAAATGTTAAAACGTAAAATATAATACAAACATGGTTCTTTTTTTTCTTCTTTGAATAGATTTTGAAGAAAACAAAATATTTGCTTCCGTGCTCATTCCAATTAAAGATGAAATAAACCTTATCAAAACCAATTCTAATTATGATTTATGAAGACCTGAAACCGAAAATAATATTTACTTCTAAAGATTCTGAAACGAACTGGAAAGAAATTAGCCCATATGTTACTTTGGATAAGTTAAATAAAGCGTAAATAATTGCAAATGCATCCTTCTAGTGGTATGGTTGAGATATATTTAGAACTTTGAGAAGTTCCTACATTTTCGTACTTCTTTAAAATGTCCTCGAGTGGCTCAGCAGTAAGTCTACAGACTTACTACGCTAAAAATCGGATTTCGATACACGTGGTGGGAAGAGCACCTGTAGCTCATTGAATAGCTTTGCACTTAACAACCACCACCTTACATTGTTATTATGTAAGTCACATGGAGTATCGCAAAACAAACTTGAACCATATTTCTTAGTTGAAAAATTAACCTTTATCGAAAATAAAGTTGCCTTATAACCTCCCAGAACTTACAAATATATAATCACCCAGCTTCGACATGTCTTACGGTGGTTGGAAACGTTTTATTAAAGCGATTTCGGAGCCTCACCACGTTGTTACAATCCGTATTCCATCTGACGACTGCGTATCTTGACAAGAGCCCTGCAGCGTACTTTCATTGCAAAAGGCTTTGTCGTAAGGTTGTCATGTACAAAGTACACCACACTTCCTTGTTTGTCTCCAAAATCCATCTAGTGTCTGAGGATAACGATTTCCCAACGCCAATTTCATCACTCGGATTGTACAAAAATCCATGGGTACTGCATCTGGCGACATGACTGATGTCTTTCTATGGAATAGCATGAATACTCGTGTCCTTCTCCAGGTGTGAAATGGTAGAATGGATACGTCGTGGATAAATACATGGGCACAAGTGACTTATTTCTTTTCCAGACTTTATTATGTTGAATAGTGTTGCCTAGAGCACGTGAGCAGCTTTTACAACAGAACTATTTTTGTGTTCGTGGATTCTCATCTGTTACAAGACGCCGCACTTTGTTGACCTGTTTTATGTCTCTTTCCAAATAGTTCCAGTTTCCCAAGTTGATCCATATTCCTTTTTTCAGTGCTAAGTAAATACAAGGGATATCCCCATCTTGGAAACTTTATATTTTCGATCTGAACACATCTTTATGATCTGAGTCCATATTTTGCATTGAATTCCTTTCTCAAAAGTGAACAATTTTCGGGAGCATCACGCTATCTGCGAAAAGCTAAGCAATGTCAAACTATAGTTCTGATACATTCCGTAACCACTGCGGCTTTATATCGGTGGTAGATGCCACGTGACATACTTTAATATAACGTACTCTATCATATGCGTTCATTTTTAATACAGTAAAAACAGTGAAAATCTTAGAAGTTCCTATTTGTACAATATAAAGCATAACAGGTTTCAACGAACTATTTTTATGAGTGTTAGTAGATCTCACAAGGATAAACAAAACAATAACAAGTAAGCCTCAGAAGGGTAAACACTACGATAACACGTAGGTTTCACACGGATAAATATAACGATAACACGTAGGTTTCAGAAGGATGAACAGACCAAATATGTTTCTAAACAATAGTGGGAAAATTTTCATATTTTGACGTGTTTCATCTCAAGAACTAAAAACATTTTCCTGTTAAAACAAGTGGGTCCCAAAGTAATAATTTTTTCTAGAATTCCTTATTTCACTGTGGAAGTGTTAACAACTTTTACTCTAAAGTCTAAGATCCCACTCATTTTCAAATATGTTGTTTTGACATTTTTTTAAAATTTCGGAATCCGTTGAATCCTATTCTTTATGTAAAAATCAATAATTCATTCTTATCTACCAAATGTCCAACTCATTATTTTCAAACTAATCAGTAGGCTTAATGCTATGTTTGTAGCTTCTATATGTTCCTGATGCTAAGATTTCTCAATTTTCTCTTAAATGTTCCTTTAAACAACAATAAATACAACCAATCCTCTTTCACTATCATTCAGGGACCATCTAGAAGAATGGTCTTTGTGAAAATATAGAAACCGGCGAAACGTTTAACAAAACCTACCTTTACCATATAATTCCATTTTGCTATCAGGTTGCAAACTTAGAGTACAGCCCGGAAAGTCATCATCATCAACAGCAAGAGAATAACTGTGATCTGCTGCTTGAACACTGGGGGATTGAACAGCATCCGTCATCATTCGGTCATGAAGTATTATAGGACGGCTATCCAAAATGTGTTTCCAATCCAGATCCATGTCCAAATCCATATCTCCAAGTTTCTACCAATGAAAGTAATTACAGTTATTACTTTACACATAATGATAAATTGCTCAGACACGATTTCACAAAAAATTGGGAGACGTTAGACCATGAAACCGTTTGATAATATCGTGTTGTGCCGTTTCACTGTGTTTACCGTTTCTTACCATTTGAATTGAGTTATTATCGTTTAATACCACTTTGATATTTTCACTTTCTACCATTTGATACCATTGTGCCATTTCCCAGTTTTTACCGTGTGATACCATTGTGCCACTTCAACTCAGTTCTTACAGTTTGAAACCATTGTCCTGCTTCATATTTTTACTGTTACTACTGGACCATTTCAGTATAGGCCCGGCATGGCCATGTGGTTAGGGTGCTGGACTCGCAATCGGGGGGTCGCGGGTTCGAATCCCCGTCATACCAAACATGCTTGCCTTTTCAGCCGTGGGGGCGTTATAATGTGAAGATCAAGCCCACCATTCTGTTGGTAAAAGAGTAGCCCAAGAGTTGTGTTCTACTGCTAAATTAGGGACGGCTAGAGCAGATAACCCTCGTGTAGCTTTGCGCGAAATTCAAAAACAAACAAACTTATTGCCGTAAAAATGTGCTTCCGCACTTTGAGGCCATGGATACATCATAACAGTGACGGTCAAATCTCATTACTCGGTCACACAAGAGTAGCCGTAGAGTTGGCGGTGTGGGCTACTGACTAATGCCTTCACTCTAGAGTATCAGTTCAGAATTAAGGATGGCTATGCGCAAATAGTCCTTTGTGTAGCTTTACGAGACAATTCTAGAAAGATACAAATATACGCCTAAGTATAACTGCATGTTTTCAATAAGTTAAGCTTCTTCTATGCTTAAATTTTCATCGTAATCATTGAGTTTAAAATTCGTTTTTATTTGGTTCAAAATAGAAGGAAGATGAAAATAGAACGATTTTCTTACGTGGTATCAATAAAAAAAAACACTCGTAAAAAGCCACGTATTCTATAGTTTATCTGTCTTCTGCGAAAAAAGCACACTTTAGTCTGTTACACGAAATTGTAACTGACGATGAAGAAGCTGTTTTCTAGCAGGTGGCGAGAGCAGGTGTGTTGTATAGATACGCATTTGGTTTTGTCAGTAAGTCTACCCTTATCCAAATATATCTATACTTCGTAAAAGCCACGCCATCAGAAATGAGAGAAACGTTTAATTTGTCCACGATGTAAACTTAATCTATAGTTTCACTGCAGTAAAAAAGAACAACAACAACAAAAGACAATGTGCCAGGAATTATCTATCTAGTTTTAAAACGTCACCTGTAGTAATTCGATAAGCCCACAAGATGGTATGCAAATAGTCAAACGCTATGAGATAACATCCGACAGTGCACATTACTGCTTGCTTATTCAAGAAATGGCGACGTAGAAAAGATGCTGGATAAACACAAAAGTTTAACGTTTTTCTGCAACGTAAGCTTCAAAGTCATTTGTTTGTAAGATTTATTAATAACTAAGGGCGTTTCACATTACTTTTGTAATAAGACAATTTATTAGGAAATCCATGTGAAAACAAATACTTTAATTTATAAAAGTAAATAGTTAATATGGGGTTGACATGACCTGGCGGTTAGGGGCACCCGACTCTTAATGTGAAAGTAGCGAGTCTGAATCCCTGTCGCCAAAGATTTTCGTCCAATTGGGTGTAAAAAAAATGGCTTACAAAAATATCAGCCGACTCCAAACTAATTGGGATTAAGGTCGAAACGAAATATGTTTATTATACACTTTTAAGAGTGGGAGTGATACAAACTAAGAAAACTTACTATCACTGAAACTGTGTAAGCTCAACTGAATTTTCTTTATTTGAATAAGTGCGTCAATAAACACTTTGATATTCAGAGAAACATCTTTCAGTTATTACACAATGGTTTTGAATTGAAAAATGCCGTTACATCTAGAGGCTAGATGCATGCAAATTCCAGGACAAGCCAAGCGTTTATCGACGAACCGAAGTCAATGGCTTACCGTTATCCTTTTGCTAATATTTGAAAATATATCAATAAGTTTTATAGCTCGATATTCTCATATCACACTATATGGTTTAGAGCCCACAAAGTTGGTCATTTTACATACACATGCAAATAGAGAGAAGAAAATTACGTTTTTACTCTGTACAATTGCTGTGAAAACTGTATATACAACTATTAGTTTTCAATAAACGTATGTAACTGTATTTAAAAACCAGATATGCAGGAGGCTAAAATTTTAATACATTTTATGTTTCTGAAACGTACATTTCACATAAAAACAAAATACTTGTGCTTATATTTATTGGCAGTAATTTTAAGTATGAAAGTATTATATATTTTTTTAAATTTAAAATAGATCTCCGGAAAATAAAAATGAAAATGTTTGTGCTTAAGAATAGCTTTATAAAGGAAAAAACAACAACAGGTATCAAAAGTTCCAGCTCCTATTAACACATGTAAAATAGAACTAGATGTTCAAAGTTCCTGTCCAGCTATAAGAGAAAAGGAAAACTTCCAAATGTCTAAAGACCTATCCAGGCAACCAAATAATGAAAAGAGTCAAACGTGAGCCAGACATACTATATCAAACCTCTCTGTTCTACTGTGTTAAACAAACATCAATGGTATTAGCTTTAATGGTATATAAAAATATCCAAGTTGTATTTCCGTATAAAAAATAATAAATGCCCAAGACCTCAGTCCTGTTAATATGTCAAGAAAAGAAACTTCAAGGTCTCCGTCATGTTAACGTGTAAAGAAAAGAAACAAAAGCTCAAAGTACAGTCCTGTTAATGTGTCAAGAAAGTAATTAAATATTCAAGGTCTCAGCTCTGTTACCATGTCAAGAATAGAAACAAAAGTTCAAGGTCTCAATACTGTTAACATGTAAAGAAAATGAAAGTTCAAAATCCCATTCAGCTAAAAATGGCAAGAAAAGAACCAAATGTTGAAGATCCAAGTCCTAGTAACATGTCAAGAAACAAGTGTTCAAAGTCCCAGCATTATTATCGCGTAGAAAAAAAAATAAAAGTTCCAGTCTTAAAGCCCTATCAAGAAAAAAATCAAATATTTAATATCCTTGATATTTTATATCTGAAAGACAAACCCAAACATTAAATGCCCAAGATAATTTATTTTGTAAAAGAAACAAACTATACTGCAAAGGCCCACTAACACTTAATAATTTCAGAAGAAACAAAATGAATATCAAAGAATAAAGTATACGTCAATGCCATAAGCTATTATTCCATTAAAGAAAAGTGTGAAATGTCAATGGCTCTAGTACTATCAACCTATGAATGAAAATATATGAAATGTTAAAGGAACCAGTTCTATTATCCCATGCAGGAAAGTTTTAAGATTAGAGATCCCAAACATTTGATCGTATAAAAGCAAACAAATAAATGTCAAAAATCCCAGTTGCATTATCCTTAAAATTAAAAAGTAAGTGCCAATGGTTCCAGTAATAGCAACCTAAAAAAGTACCAGATGTTCAAAAACAGAGTCTTTTATGGTTATTGCTGAACGATAAAGGAGTTTTTGACACAGACACTCCTCCCTCCAATTATGGAGTCCTGTCAGTTCACGTTTGTCAGTGCAAAGTTCGGGTAGTATAGTGCTGTCCCTAATTTTGAACCATCAACCACACAGAGGCAACCGGTCGGCATCAACCTCTTACTAATTTGTTTTATATATGTTATTTAATTATTTATGTTTACCTTATTTAATTATTCATTATCAGTATGCATAATCTTTTTACATCATGTTCCCAGCGTAAATTGTGCTTTTAATATAAAAAAGTGAAGATCAAGACTACTGATCGCTGCTCGGCACGTTAGCAAAAGGATAAAAAGTGCAAGCTAAGCCTAGCATAAAGGACCTGGTTTATAACTGCACAAACTAATCGCAATTAACTATTGTATTCGCAAACTAATTCTAAATTAGAATATTTATAAGAAATTAAGAAGAATATTAAGTGGGTCTTATATAAAACCATAATTACTAAAAACTGGTCTCAATATTGTTTTAAAATGTTAACTTATATTACTTTCCTCCAGGTATAAATAAGGAAGCCGGAAGCATCAACTGATTACAATATTTCTACACTGTCACTCGCCCTCGAATGGCAAAATTCAACTAATAACAACAAAAAAAAACTTTATAAAATTGCACAAGCATTAAAGGAACAGCTTTGTAAATAAAAGGGCTGCATGATAACTATTATACATACAATATTATCTAAACAAAGAAAGTAAGTCACGTGGGAATTGGGTCACTCGAAAGCAGATGACATCACTGTAAGCAGTGGCGTTATCTGGATAACATTCGTTCGACTCCATGCTCCAGGTGTAGTAGGTGGAGCAAAATTCCTGAACACGAGTCTCTTATACACACAGTTCTCTTGAAATTATCTATAAAGTACAAGTATATTTGTTTGTAGAGTAGAAGGTATGAAAAAGAACAACATCCAAGTTTTCAACAGACATAAAATATCACGAGTTATAGATTAGTCGAAAGAAACATGAATAATTTCACGTTAGATTATCACAATTACCCTTTAAAATAAAACAGAAAAAAAAACTTACAATATAACTCTAAGAGATCAGAGAATAAAAGAAAAACGTGTAAATAAAAGGCTATGACGGTTTTCAGGAATTCATGTTTCGTGCTATTCACGACTTTTTCCTTTTAGAATATCCATAGTTGATGAAACGTTTTAATGAACGTTACGGTTCAAAAGGTGTTTCTTGGGTATCACAATCATGTTAAATCTGATATTTGAGGAAAGATTGGCTAAGTTTCCTCAAACATACAAAATTGCAACTTGTGGGCAAAGTTTGTGGAAACCTTCGTAGGTCTGGATAAGAACAAGCCTAAATCCATGTTATACCATCTCTTCTCCAAGGTAGCTCTCCCCTAATGTCTGTTCAACTGATTATAAAATGATATCTATGGGATAACAGTTTCATTTCTAATAGGTTGTGAAAAAAGCTTAAG